AGGTGGATAAGGCCCTTTTTGTATCATAATTGTGCATGACTTTTTTATGAACTAAATGAAATGAAAAAAAGAAAAAAAAAAAGAATTCTCTTTTTACTTCTCTACCCCACTTTTTATTTGGATTATTTGGTGTTTTGCAAACTAACTTCTTGAGTTTATTTTAAATATTAGAGAACAGCCACCTGTCAGATATGGGTTTGTGAATATCTTTTCCCAATATTTCTGCTGCAATTTTTTATTGTTGACTGTGTCCTTTCTTTACAGAAGGTCCTGTTTGTGTAGGGGGAATAATAAAGGAGAGAAAAATAAGAGATACCATCAAAGAGGGAGCCATTATAGTTTTAAAGTGAAATCAAGCACTAGGGGAATATCTGGAGCTCCGCAAGCATGACACCAGCTAACCATCTAATCACCAATAGAGAGGCTACATTATAAGCCCAACCCTAATAATGAGATTTATGACTAACTTCTATCCATTCAGTTTTTTCTATATTTTAGAAATCAGCCCGTTGCTAGATGTGGGGTTGGTGGAGATTTTTTCCCATTCTTTGTGCACCTGAATTTTCTTCTTGATTATGTATTACTCTCCTAAGATGTTTAGAGTAGTTGGATTTAAATTGAAGTCTTTTATCCATAGGAAATTTAGCTTAATCAATAGAAGCCACAAAGGAAATGTAAATCATAACAACTATGAGATATCATCTTATACCTGGCAGTATGGCTACAGAAAAAACACCACAGACATTTTATGCTGAGAGGACATGGAGTAAGGGGAACAATTCTCTGTTGCTTCTGTTTGAAAATTTGTACAAACATTTTGGCAGTCATTATGTAAGTTATTTTGAAATGTGAGTATCAGTCTACTTCAACATCTAGCAATTCTCTTCATTGGATATACCCAAAGGATGTACATTCATACACCATGGACATCTGTATAGCTATTTCCATAACAAGTGTATTTGTAATGTTCCAATTCTATGTGAAGACAGTTCTTAGACTGTGCAGTTCATGATGGCTGAATGATTTATCATTAATGGGGCCATTTCGAAAGATAATCTATCGGCTGGTTTCCAAAAGTCTGATTCCAATTCTAAGTAACAATTGCGGATATCTGAATTAATCTTCCATTTTCCTGGTATTTTTTTCCACTGTTAGAAATTTTTACTAATATGTCTATAAATTAGTAATTGTTCTAAATAATAACGATCCATAGTCAGATATAGAAGAAAATGCTAATATATCAGAGGGAATGGGGAAACCACTGTCACACTTCACCTCTTTAGCATCTCATCAAACAAGAGGGAGAGTTCCTATTTCTACCTGCTTATATCCTGTTTCTGCCCAGCTACCTCACTTCTTGTCTGTCAATGAAGACCTCCTGATCTCTGTAGTTAGATAGTGTCAAGCTCCATTCTGATCATTAGACAGATTTTATTTGCAAAAACAAAGTATCACCACATATGTTAGCCTAAATATAAGCTTAAAATTGGATGATGCATATGTAAAATACATTGGGACAAATTTTAGGAGTCCCGCAACCTCATAAGGACTATGCAGACAACAAGATTTTTAAATGTCTCATACAGTCTCAGAAGTGTTTAATTAGTTGTGTGATCAGGATCTATGTCAGTTGTACAGTATATTTCTTGGTTTATTTTTTAATACATGCATCCAAGATTTACAGTATATATTACCAATAAAGTCTGTTCATTAATTTTGAAAAGATCTATAATTTATACTTTCCTGTTGAAACAAAGCAAAACCTGTACCTCCAACACAACCTATTTTATATATTTCAATATGCTAATAACCCTTAATTTACAGAGGTTGGTTTAATTTAGCATTTATGATTAAATGACTGAAAGTCAATGTCTTTCAGAAGCTATTGTCTTGTATATTACCATTTAAAATTTCAGTACCAAAAAAGTACCATATAGGATTCATTCACACTGTCTATTTCCTATCTGTTATTAGGCTTCTACTTTTTATATTAATTTACTCTGTAAAGATTTGACTTTATTATTTTTAAACTATACATGTTATTCTGGCTGTCCTTATCTACTTTATCTACTTTCATTTATAAATGAACTGTTTTAAAATATTTTAATGAAGTAAAGTTTGTTAATTAGTATATGCTGCATAATATTAAATTAAGCATCTATAATACACTATATTTGATCCTGCTGCCATTGTCAAATATTTACATTATGTAAAATGAATTTTTGCTGCATATTTTGAGTATATAAAGATGTGCTACCGATGTTTCACCTTGCCTACCCTAGGCCCACAATTGGTCTAAATAAAAGTGAATGGACAATTGTTCAGCAGAAGTGGGCAAGGAGATGGTAGTAGACAGAAAGATAGGTAGGAGCAGAATTATATTATTAGAGAGAGAAGAAGTGGGCATAGTAACAGAGGGTAGAATGGGTTATTAAAAGAGCAGGACACCCATGGCTATCTAGGCATATACAGGAAAAGACACAGAGTAGAACATACAGAAAAAAAAATCCCAGAAGCAAAACATAGGTGAAGAGAAATGTGTAAATTTGTCTAAAGAAAAGATGCTAGCCAGAAATGAACAAAACATAAGGACAATGATTCATATCTAATAACATCCCCTGTCGTGTTTAGCGAATATGTTGATTTCGCAAACTTGAATGCTTGGGTGGAGGCAGACTGAGCCACCCAGCGTCTGCCACCATTCTTATCTTGGACTGGTACCAAGAGGAAGAGGTGAATGCCTGTCCTTTTCCTGCCCACTTTTTCCTGTTTAAATCCCCTGAACTGCAACTCCCACACATATCTAACCAAGGAATCATACAGAGAGCCATCTAATATGTGGAACCATTGGCAACTTAAAACCACCTACACCTACCAGATAGAGCCTTGGACCCATAACAACCAAGAGAGGGAGAGGACCCTTCTGTACCCACTGTAATAAGCGATGGGAAGATGGCAGTATAAGAACACGTTCAACCATAGAAAGATTAATATGACACCAGCAGAGTCTAGGGATTCTACACCAGCAAGTTTCTGTCTTGTAGTCCTTTCCAGTGGTGAGAGTGGTGTGTTGAAATCTCCCATTATAAGTGTTAGAGGTTTTGTGTGGTTTGAGTTTTAATAATGTTTATTTTACAAATGTGGATGTCTCTGTATTTGGTAATTAGGTGTTCAGAATTAAGACTTAACCTGAATTGATTTTTTCCTGTGATGAATATGAAATGATTTTATGCAACTCTCTTGATTAATTTTAATTAACAGACTACTGGCATACAATCTCTAGATTCTAGTGCTGGCAAGGTAGCTTTTTCTGTTTGAAAATGATCTTAAACTGTCATCTCTTCATTCCTTCTACCAGGGGGTGCAGGCGAGGCCTCTGTCTTTCTTCGCGGATATGAGACCAAGGCTCTCTCCGGGTAAAGATGGGTCAAAAAATTAACTGTCAGCCAATGCTGTATGGTTTGATCTGCCTCCAGGTCTCTCTGGGGCATTCAGTGGTGTGATGTGAATGTGGAATGCAGGACAGGGGACTCCAACAGGGGAGGTTAGCAGGAGAAGGACTAGCACACCTATTTCTTTGTGGGTGCTGAATTGATGCAATGGCAGCAGCTGCTTCATGGTTTGGTTTGCTTCCTTTTCTCTCTGGAGTATTTGGTGACAGGACAAATCAGGGGTCTACTTTTCAGGGGATTCCTACAGGGAAGTTGGGCAGAAGACCCTGCACTTGCAAGACTAAGACTCTGTATCCCATTCCTTTAATTATATTATTTTGCATTTTTATGTGTAGTTTCTTAAGTTCTTTGTATAATTCTGATTTAGCCCTCTGTCTGAAATGGGGTTGCCGATGACTTTCTCCATTCTGTAGCCTAACTGTTTGTAGCCTTACAGAAGCTTCTTAGTTTCAGGAGTTCACATTTAGTGATTGTTGTTTTCAGTGTCTGTTCTACTGGTGTTATATTTAGGAGTGGTGTCTTATGCCAGTGTGTTCAAGGCAATTTCTTCTTACTTTCTGTTCTATGAAGCTCATAGAATTTATATTGAATTTATATTGAAGTCTTTGATGCATTTGGACTAGAGTTTTGGGCATGGAGACAGATATGAATCTATAAGAATTTTCTACATTGAATTTCCAGTTTGAGTGTATCAGTTTTTGAAAATGCTTTCTGTTTTATATTTCATAACATTAGTCTCATTGTCAAAAATCAGGTGGTTCTGTGTTTGTAGATCAACATCAGCATGTTCAATTTGAATTCACTGTTCCACGCTTCTTTTTTTGCGTGAATACCAAACATATTTTATTACTTTGACTCGATATTACATGAGTATATACCTACCAAGTACTGTAACTGAGGTTCATCTCACAAAACCAGAATCAGAAACACGCCAAAACCATAACAGAAGACCACCCATTTGTTTCACCACACAAAACCTACCCCAACACCTTAATTCTGAGCTTAATATTTCCCAAAAATGTTAACAGGACAAGCTTCAGGGTCCTTAAAAAGTGGCAGCATTTGACTGCTGAAAGCTAACACTACAAAGGAAATGCCCTGAAGGGCCAGGGCTGCCCACCCATCCCTTACCACACCCACCCAGAATATATAAATGCTCATGTGAAAGTTTTTTCTTATGCTATCAAAGATATACCACCTACAGTGCTAAACTAAAACTAGCAGCATTAGAGCAATAAAGCAAAAATAGAAAGCCTACAGGAATGATCTTAATGCCTACTTAGAAAGAAAGAAAGCAGCAGAGACCCTTTGCCCTTGGGTTATGTTTGTAGAGAACTGGTTGCATTAAACAACCAGATTTACCCACATTAACAGGAATTACACAATGCTTCCACAAGATACAGAATAAAACTGGAGCTTTCCAGTCAAAGATGACAGAGAAGCCTCTTTCATTCCTGAGTTCAAAGATTGGTAATAAAGAATTTTTTTTTTTGAAAAAAGAGGAAAAAGAAGACTACATCAGAGGCATAATGGGAACAATCCTGCATTTTATTGAACAGGCACATTGAGTTTCTCCAGCACAAGTACACCCTTTTCTTGGTACTCTTGTCGAGTCATCCAAGAGTTGTCTTTATCTTTCAAGATGTCTGCCAGGACTGCACCACCCAGAAACACCATGTGGTTTCTGCAGGGTGGATCTTCAATTCGGATCTTAAATTTAGATATTTTTTCCACATCTCCCTTTAGAACTCGTTCTATGTAAAGCTGTTTAAGCTCTCGTTCCAACCTTGATGGCAGGCCAGGATACATAGTTGAGCCTCCAGAAAGCACAATGTGTTTGTAAAATTCAGATCTGG